TTCTTCTTGGGCCGGGGTCCACACCCCATCACTCATACGACATCAATACTTTAACTACCACACCACTCAACCCAATTAATCCTTATTTAGCTTTAACAATACTTAAGCCTTATCCACCTACTTCTCATAAAATAGAAATAAAGCTTCTAATCGGTAGCTTACCCAAGCCTCAAAGCTGACGTCCAACTGCAATGCCGGACAAGCTCCACTGCCGGAGAAGGGTCAAGGTCACCGGAGGAGAACTGGCCACCTGCCGGGAGATGAAACCACCACGCCGACTACCGGATCTGCTAGCTTGCTGTCGGAATAGGGGGCCACCGCCAAGAACCATCGCTGCCGACTGCCGCAACAGATCGCCGGAGAGGAGGAGAAGGCCTCCAGGCTGCTGCCGTCACTTGTGCTACTCTGTCTGCCGGAGAGCTTCGCAAGAAAACAGAGGAGAGTGAGAAGGTTGGTCACCGCTGGACTTTCTATCACACTGGAAAACAAGGGAGGTCGCCAACCATCGCTGGTTCTTGCTTATTGGACTGCCGGAAGGGAGAAGGTAGCCGGTTCCGCTGCTTCTTCGCCACTGCTCGCCGGACCTGTCCACTTGAGCTCTGCCACCGCCGCCGTCTGTTACGCCGAGGGGAACAAAAGGGAGGGAGGCTGGTGAAGGCTGCGGATCTGCTTCTGGCTTGAGGGCGAGAAAAAAACCGAGAGAGGGAAAAAGAAAGAAACGAAGGGGGTGTTTGGTTGCTAATCTTCTCATCATAAACGTATATATATATATATATATATATATATATATATATATATATATATATATATATATATATATATATATATATATATATAGACTTCGAATCTGGTGCAACCCCTATACTAGATAAGATCATGAGATCTCATGATATCCATTGATTCATTTTTCATAAATGGTTGAGATTATAAGAGGGTGTGAAAGTAATTAAGGATATATTTGAATCAAAAGGATTAAATAGTAATTGTAGATATATGTTTAATTATGGATATAATTCAATTGGAATCTTAAGCATTATATTAGGGAGATTATGAATGGAAATTGATATTTTAAATTATTAGGGACCTATCAATGGTAATAATTAATTATATTTTGTACATCTGAAATTTTAAATTATGGAAAATTTTACGGCGGTGTGTGCGTGTGTGTGGAATAGTGTGTGCGTTTTATAGTTTGCCATGGTGTACACATCCTGTTATAGAAAACCGCACACACCATTCCACACCCGCGCACACACCATCATAAAATTCCCCACAATTAAAAAAAAAACAAAAAACAAGCCCAATACTATATCTACGTTTCGCACACGCCCGAAACTAGTAAAACACAAACCAAAATGAACATGCCTGTATCACGAAACGCACATACCAAAATGCATAATTTTATGAAAAAAAACAGCACGTCATGGTGTACGAGCCCTGTTATAGTACAACGCACATACCATTCCACACCCACGCACAGACCACCATAAAATTCCAAAGAAAATTACTAAGAGAGAGAGAGAGAGAGAGAGAGAGAGAGAAATATTGATTAAGGAGAGCTGAAATAACGCTACAAATCTTTATAAACATGAAAATAAATGAAATGGAAAGTAATAAATATAGTGCTTAAGGACAAAAAGACCCATGCTTCATCTAAAATCAGTATAACATGGGATCCAAGTGGTAATCAATCTGAATCGTTAAAAAATTAAAATCAACGATCATGGAGTGTGCTCACGGGCTCAGCTGACTAGGGGGTGTGCACTGGATTCAAATATATATATATATATATATATATATATATATATATATATATATATATATATATATATATGACAAAGAAATGAATAGGGTTTCTTAATATAAGATGGGTTGGGTTAAAATAGAATGTTGGGCCAAGCTTGCCAAAAATGGTTTTGAGCTAGACTATTTTAGTAATTGGATCAATGAAAGATTGGGCTTAGAAATATATTTTGATTCCAACCAAAATTATTGGGCTCGTGAATTAAATCAATTCGGATTAGAACAATTAAGACTTAGAGTAATAATGACAATTTCATCTTGAATAGACTTTTGGCTCAAAATTTTAAGAAATAAATCATCGTAGAAATAAAATAATTTTATTTCGAAACTTTATAAAATAGAAATTTGGGATTAATATTTTGGGTTGTGATGCGTAGTATATTTGCAAACACAGCGATGCCTCCCCGTCAGCGTGCACGTACACCGGAGACCCCGACGAACGAACACCTTGCCCAGAATCTGCAACAGCTTACGCAGACTATGCAGACCCCCTCAGCGAGGCGTTGTTGCACAACAACCATCCCGTGCCACCTCCATAGCCTGAAGACCCCGTTGTTCTTGAAGAGTGGGTGACTATGCAGACCCCCTCAGCGAGGCATTGTTGCACAACAACCACCACCACCACCACAACGAGGCGTTGGGGACCCCGTGGGTGACTATGCAGACCCCTTCAGCGAGGCGTTGTTGCAAAACAACCACCACCTCCACAGCGAGGCGTTGTTGCACAACAACCACCACCTCCACAGCGAGGAGTTGTTGCACAACAACCATCCCTTGCCACTTCCACAGCCTGAAGAACGCGTTGTTGCACAACAACCATCCCTTGCCACCTCCACAGCCTGAAGACCTCGTTGTTCTTGAAGAGTGGGTGAGGACGTTTGACAAGATCTTTTCTGTTGTCACCTCCACAGCCTGAAGACCTCGTTGTCTTTTCTGTTGTTGGATGCCCAGAGGAGCGGCGAGTCATGAATTCCATAGCCTTGCACATGTATTTTTGTAACCTATCCACCCATAGAATTCCTTTTTGTGTAGCCTAAAAAACCAAGTAAAATGTAAATTTGTAACCACAAAGTTTCAAACCCAAGTGTATCACTTGCTAACCCAACCCTTGAACCACTTGAGCTAATTATGTTTCTTGAACCTTATCTAATTTTAATTCTATCTAACCCATTAATTCTCACTTTACCCAAAATCCCCAAATTAAATCATCATCTTTTTCCAATTTTTCCCCAAATCCCAAAACCCTCATTTTCTCCCTCCCCTCACTCTACCCGTGAGCACCAGCCGAACCACCCCTCCCCACCACCCGTCGATAACCCGTCCCCGATGAGACCAAGCCGCCACCGACGCCACCTGCTGTCACCGTCGACTACCAAGACACCGCCGCCGGAGCACCGCCGCGACGCGAGAAGATAAGAAAAAAAAAAGAGGAGGAAAGTCTTGGGTCTTTTCGTGGAGCTTTGGGTAATCTTTCAACCATGCCTAGGAGAACAAGTTTGGCAAGGAAAGTGGAATGGGGGATGCCCATTATCTCGTTTTAGAAGGTAAAGCTTTCGACCCGGAATCTTTTCCTACTTCTTTGTTGGATATGCTTAGATATCAAGGCTTGTTAGATGGGTTTCTCGCCATAAGGGTCGAGACATACCCAAGTTTGGTTAAGGAGTTTTACCGTCACGTGGTTGTGGCGAAGGATGGAGGAAAGCTTGAAATCATCTCTAAGGTGAGGGGTGTGAAAGTGGTTTTGTCTGAAAAGAGGTTAGCCCAACTTTTAAGTTTATCAGCTTTGGGAGTTTCACAGTACAGTGGTAACTCTTGGATTAGTACGGATACCATGGGGTACCGGGACTATTTGAGTTACTTGTTGGGTTGCACGAGTGGTTTCACGCAGGCTTCAAGACCGGAGAAGAAGTGGTTGTCTACCGAGCAAAGGATTTTGGTGATGCTGGTATCGGATTGTTTGTTGCCCAATAACAACAAAAGTCGGTTGTTTGGAAAGTTGGAGTGTACCTTTGCTTTTTGTCTGAAGGACATGGTAAAGTTTAATCTGCCTGCCTTGATGTTGCAACACATGGTCTTTTGCCGTGACCACAACCGGAAGAGCCTACCTTACGGTATAGTGTTGAGTTGGATCTTTGTCAAGAAGGGCGTGAGCGTTGATGGTTGTATGCCGAAGCCCATAGGAAATATGGTGTTGGATGCCATCAATCTGCGAAGTTGCAACTTGTTTCAGTTGGATGACGGTGATTACATCACTCTTGAAGAAGTTGCTAGGAAAACCCCCGAGGAAGGAGATGAGTTGGTTGCAGAGCTCGAGATTCCTGTCGGAAAGTTGAACCTCGCGGTCCAGAACTTGGGAGGTGATGTGGGGGAAGATGAAGAAGAAGGCCATGAAGAGGAAGCGGAAGCGGGAGGAGCTGCCGGTGTTGAGGAAAGTGATCCAGGAAGTGAAGAAAACCGGAAGAGAAGAGAAGCCCGAACCAAGAGAGAGCACGATGCTATGACGCACGAGGAGCGTGTGGTCACCTTGCTACGCCAACAAAACCGGATGATCGAAGAAGGCTTTGCTTTTATGAAGACGCAGTTCATGGCAGTGCATCAGAGGTTAGATCAGATAGAGGCCAGTTCGAGTCGAAGGGGAGATGATGACGAGGAGTCCGAGGAAGACACCGAAGAATCGGAGAGCGAGTCATTCCAGCGCGGTGTTGTGGTAATCCCGTCTACCTTTCCTTAGCTTGTTGTTATCTTTTTAGTTGTTGCTACCGTTTGCTAGTTGCTTGTTTGCTTTGTGCGTTCGTTTTTGTTTGCTAGTTTTGTTGAGTAGTTAGTTTTGTGGCTTGAGCTAGGAGCTAGTTGTTTAGATCTTGAGTGTTGATTAGAAGTTGGTGGTTGTGTTTGGTTTAGAGTTTGATATGCTCAATATTTCCGTTGGTTAATTCTTTCAATCCTTGCAATGATATGATTTCTTGCTTATTTTGGTATCTTTTGAATTCTCTAAGTTTTGACCAAAAGGATGTTCTTGACACTCTTGTCACAATGTTGTTTCGTTTCACCGTTTGTTTTGATTCTTCGTACCCAAGCTTCGGGGACGAAGATTATTTTAAGGGGGAGAGGATGTGACACCCTGTAATCCAAATTCTGTTTAGGGATTAATTAATTAATCCTAATCTAATTTTTTGAAGCAAACAGAAAGAACTTCATTACTGAGTGAAAAAACGAGCAATACAACTTGGTGGGATATCGATCCACACCCCCGAGGCAGCTGTAGAACCGGTTGCCCGAGCTAGCTCATGAGCCACGCAGTTCGCTGACCTCCTGACATGGGTAATGCTAACATCCCCAATGTCCCTAGCAATCGACACACATTGCTTAACTATCAAACCAACATATGACAAATCAAAAGAACTAGAATTAAAAGCATTACAGAAACTTAAACAGTCAGACTCAATAATTATACTCCTGTGGTGTTGCTCTTTAAGCCACGACAACGTTTCTCTGACACCGATCGCTTCAGCCATGTATGGGTCAACGATCCCCTCGATGCGTCCGCTTTTCGCCGCCACAAAATCACCGGCATGGTCCCGGACCACAGCGCCATAGCTGGCTCCTTCGATGGAAGATGGCGCATCTACGTTACATTTGAGTGTATGCCGCGGAGGTGGCGTCCACATAGCAGCCTGGTGTGCCGGATGCCCCATAGTGTCGTAAGCCTCTTTCCAGCCAAGACATAGCCGCAGCATTTCGTCGCGAGCGCTCACTACATCTAACACTTTGTTGTTCCACACAGCATCATTTCGCCACAGCCAAATTGTCCAGAAGGCAGTAGCAAGACGCACCACTTCCTCCTCATTTCCACTACCCAGCGAGAGGTTTAAAAAACTGATGATGTCTTTCCCTTGATTAATGTTCACAGCACCCCACACCCATTCTGCAGAAACGCAGTCACAAAAGAGATGTTCCATCGTTTCGGACACATGACCGCACATCGGGCAACCCCCACTTATCCATACCCTCTTAGCTCGCAAATTTTCACGAACCGGTAGAACATTGCGAGCGCACCGCCACATAAAGTTTTTAACTTTTGGTGGGACTCGCATCGCCCATAACGCTCTCCATGCAGTAAACCCACCCAACTCCCCCTGCGTGACATCCTCTCCCCTAAGCAGCCGATATCCGTGTTTACAGTGTAACGTCCCCAGATGTCGCCGATCCACTCACTGGTGTTGCCAGAATCCGTCCTACGTCCACCTCATTAAAGACATCCCGAATGATGTCCCTATCCCAGTGGCCCGTATCATCAAGAAGATTATGTCCTCTCGCCTCACGCAGTTCTTCCACACACGGCGTACTTAGACCGTCCGTCGAAGGGCCCGCGAGCCAATTCTAGCCCCACACTTTCGTATCCCGTCCATCCCCCAGCCGCCGAGCCACTCCCAATTTTAGCACTCGCTGCCCCGCCATAATACTACGCCATATGAAGCTTGGATTAGCCCTGACTTGTGCGCCCATAAAATCTGATTTCGGATAGTATTTTGCCTTGAGTAAGCGGCTCACTAGCGAATCGGGATATATTAACAAACGTCACCCTTGTTTGGCCAATAGCGCAGTATTAAACTCATGTAGCTTCCTGAACCCCAGTCCACTTTTCGACTTAGGAGCACACAGTCTATCCCAGCTCAACCAGTGTATGCCCCGATTACCTGTACCTCCACCACCCCACCAGTACCAGTTAAACATCTTTTCCAGAGAGTCACAAATGCGCATAGGCAATAAGAAGGTAGACATGGTAAATATCAGCAGCGATACTGTAACACCCCTGATTTTCGAGACATTTAAAACTTAATAATAAAGGTAACATCTCATTAAATCCCAAAGCGTAACATAAGTGTACGGGGTGCTATGCCACACCTGGGCTGGAGAACCCAGGTGCACAGGCTGTCTAACTACTATCCTCCGAAATATAAATGCATAACATGGCACGCAGGCCGAAAGGGAAACTATACTACTTCTACGCTCCAGTTCTAGCGCGCTCCAGTGTTCTAATCCTCTGTGCCTGAAAGCCAAATATATCTATTCAGCGAGAGATGCTGGTAACCCACTCCAACGCGTTGAAATACAATACATATAGCAATATATATATATATATATATATATATATATATATATATATATATATATATATATATATATATATATATATATATATATATATATATATATATATATATATATATATACGGAAACCATTTTGAGCAAGAGAATATATCCTACGAACTCTAGCTTTAAAACCGGGAACGACTCGACAGATAAGGCCAGACACAAGCAACAGTTATAACGAGCATATGCAGTTCACAACAGATAAGGCAAAGCATAAACAATGATCCTAACCCAACATGAACAATCCCCAATATAAATCCCATAGTCACATCCCCCAAGACACTCATCACCACAACTCGTCCATGTCACAACACATAACGCACGTTGTTGGCGCCACAGGACCACTCGCATGCCCATACATGCGGGTCAGCGCATATAGCTCTGACACGGCCCCACAGCACCATGCCCCGTATCGCAACACGGGGAGGTCGATCGCAACCGACCGATGAACCGCAGCTCATCATAATGTTTGATCGCAACCAAACAGTGGACCGCAGCCCAAAAGAGTGTGTCATCTGACTGTAGCCAGGAATTCCCATCTGACTACAGCCAGCCTCTGAACCGCAGCTCAGGAAAGGTGTCACCTGATTGCAGCCAGGAATTCCCATCTGACTACAACCAGCTTCTGGACCGCAGCCCAGGATACCGTCATCCGACTGCAGCCAGGAATTCCCATCTGACTGTAGCCGGCTTCTGAACCGCAACTCAGGATAGCCAATCCGATCGCAACCGAATTGGGGCAACACGCACACATAACACATAGCAAGCACATGCAACCCACATTACACATTGGGAAGGGGAATAAGCGTATAACAACCTTATGCGTGATCCATCACGTACTAAGAATAGTCCTAAGGGGATCATACTTCTTCCACCTAGGTCAACGGGATACCAATTCAACTAGCATGCCATATAATAGACTCATAACCCTACGAACGGTACCCGAAATATCAAACTAGTCATAGGCACGACAAACGGGGTCCGTTGGGACACCACGGGGATCGGGGAAACATCAAACGGGGAAGCCGGGGTCCCGAGGGGGGGAAAATTCCAGCGGGTAGCCGGTGGGTGGGGGTCCACCCGCCGGCTGCCCGCCGGCCATCACTGTTCCGGGCACCCGCCCGCTCGCCGGCTGCCCGCTGCCGGGACTGCCCGAAGTTGCCACGGGTAGGTGGCGGGTCCCCTACCCCCACCTACCCCCCACTGACTCTTTTCATCACTTTTCGCCCCGGGAACCGATGTGGAACCCGAAACCATGCTTAGACACTTTTCAACGTAATTAACGACAACACATAGACAATTAACGGATCAAATACGATAAACGAACGGCACATAACCTATCATGCTTTTCTAATCATAATCAACACCCAAACATGCGATTTCCCCACCCGATAATCCAAGAATAATATCATACGATACAACCTAGGGTTCTAATCACTTTTATATCAACAAGAATACAATTCGTCTTCTTATTGCAAGATTCGGTAGGAACAACACATAGTCATCAAGGATACGAATTAATCATCAAAAACATCATAATCATCAAGAACAACACATAATCATCAAAACCCCAATTAATCATCAAGAACATCATAATTATCAAGAAACTCCCAATATCAAGATTATCAAGATTCCTCATGGAATCATTATATCGACATCAATAATAATCATCATCAATCGCCATTTACAACAATATGGGGGAAACCCTAAGGGGGAATCATAGCTATGAAAATAGGTTTTGTTGAGACATGGGTTACCTCTTAGCCTTAATTAATTCCTTGGCTATGAAGGATCTTTCTTTAAGCTTTCTTGATTTCTTCTAAGGGAATTCTTGGAGCTCTCTTGGGGTGATGGGGCGTCTAGGCGTGTGGGGGGGGGGGGGGGGGGGGGGGGGGGGGGTTCCGGGTGTCTCCTAAGTTCCCTATTTATATATTTAAGACTCCTAATTATGGCCTGAATGGTATGGGTTTACTAATTCTATTCCTTATAGGACTCAGGGACTTGCTTTAGGGATAAGGGTCCATATTAATTAAAGCGGATCCTAATCACAATCTGAATAGTAAAAGGCCTACTTCCTTTATTCCTAATAGATAACTAGGTCTAGGATTCCTAATTAGGATCTGAATAGTAAAATGTTTACTATCTTTATTCCTAATAGGCTTAAGCCTCTAATTTAGGCAAGGGTCCACGGTTCACGGTGGACCCTATTAATTAATTAAAGGGGAACTTAACATAATTAATCATATTTAATTATTATTAGCGGGATTAATTAAATAATTAATCCAGGATTAAAGGCCGTAACACGGGGTGTTACACTCTCCCCCCCTTACAAGGGGCTTCGTCCCCGAAGCCCGGTGTCATAGTCCACCCTTTCACCCCTAGACATCCCGTAGTTTGGCCTCCTGGGTAGGAGTGTGGCCCTACGTTTGTCTTAGTTTGGGATAGGCTGTACTTTTGGTGGCGTTGTGATAGAGAAGTTATGGGTGTACCTCGGTTTCCTGCGCTGGAACTGGGCGCCCCACGAGTGCCCAAGGCGGCCTCGATCGCTGCCACCCTCTGATCGAGTGCGCGTGTGGTGCGAATCAAGGATGAGAACCCTTCTTCCATGATTTGGTTTTGCCGGTTGAGCTGTGCGAGAATGCGCTCATTGACCGAGCTCTCGTTTTGATCCCTCGGGTCCCTTCCAGATCGTGGTTGCACTGTCGGGTCGGGCCCGTCATCCTCCTCCTGTTCCTCATTTTCTTCCGTGCCTCCGCAATCTTGCATGGCCCGCTTGAGCTTTTTGTTGGAGATGTCCAACCGATCAACCAATTCTCTACGTTCCACCTCGGGTTTTTGGCAAATTTCTTCGAGGGTGAGATAGTGTCCTCCCTCGGTGTAGTAGATGTCGTTGCGGCGGAGGTTTTGGGCATTGAAAACCATGCCATTGGCGGTCTTGACTTCGGTGTGGCTTAGGTCTACCCCCTTCTTCTCCATGATCCAACTTAGGATCATCCCGTAAGGTAGGCTAAGCCGGTTGCTTGTTTTGCAGAACTCTATGTGCTTTAGCATGAGTGCCGACAGGTTGAACTTGATTTTATGTTTTAGGAGATACGCAAAGGTGCACTCCAAGCTCCCTACATCCTTGCTCTTGTTATTGGTGGGCAAGAGGCTATCGGTTATAACCATAACCAATATCTTTTGCTCCGCCGATAGCCACTTCCGGTTGGGTCGAGTAGCCGAGGTGAACCCGTCCTCTTTCCCGAGTAAGTACCCGAGATAGTCCTTGTATCCCGTAGTTTGGGTATCAATCCACCCCTTTCGGTCATATTTAGACACACCCGTGGTGGTCAATTTCAAGAGCTTGGCCAACCGGCCTTCGGAAAGCACAATTTCCTTGCCACGGACCTTGGTGGTCACTTCTACTTTGTCGCCCCGTTTGGTGGCCACAAGGTGTTGATAGAATTCCTTCACCAATTCGGGGTACGTATCCCCTTTGATGGTGAGGTATGTATCTAGAAGGCCTTGGTATTTAAGCATATCAACCAATTCCGGAGAAAATTGGTCGGGTTCAAGTGCTTTACCTCCGATTACGGTGTAATCGGCGTTGTTCCATTCCGGGGTGCGGATTCCGAGGGGTTTCTTTGGCATCGTGATACTCGTTTGACGGGCGTGTCTGCCGGCGATCTTTTCGGTGAGGCGGTACGATTTCCGGCGGGTTTTCCGGCGAGGCGGCGCGGTTTTCCGGCGAGTTCTCCGGTGAGGCGGCGGCGGGACTTCGGTGTATTCTTCGCTCGCGAGGCCAACGCCGGTGAGGTGGGGACCG